ACCATCAGAATGTCATTCAGCTTTAATCTTTTCAACACATCACACGTTGCAGACTTGCAGTCTAAGGCACCGGAGGCAGCAGATGATTCATGCTTGTTCCACCCACAGCTGTTACCCTGCCAGCCTGTCACTGCAGGAACCACTAAGCAGCGTCACCGTGTTTCTTTAATGTGACGGTGTCGCTAATAACCCTCGTACAGACATACATGGACTGACGTGTCTGATTTACTGGCATGATGACTTCAGTCACATCCACTGTGTCACCATTACACAGCAGGGGCAAATTGAAGAAGTAGCCTTCTGCAACTCACTGGCAGGTGTCATCGCCAGGAAGTGGTTTGTAATCCTCACCGTGTTTTAATGCTGTTGTTCAATCTGTGTGTTGCAGGCAGAAAAAGCCGAGGGCTACATCGATCTCACCAACTTCATGATTGACGTAGCCATCGAGTGCAAGAAGAAACAGTAAGCTCACAGTGACTCTAATCAGCTCGTAGCGCATCACGACCAGATCGCTGATATCAGCCACCCACCACAAGTAGTTTCAATTACAAAGGAAACATGAATATTTATCTCAACCCGTGTTCCCACACAGTTAAAGGAACTGTTTTGCCTTGAAACTACCATGAAGTGATCAGTGAAGTCGAGTTTAACTCACAATTTAGAAGAAATGTCTTTTCACTTCCTTAAACTGCTGCTTCTTGTGCTGACCCTGTCCTAATGGCTGTCCATCTGTTCTTCCTCACGCAGTGCATTCAAAGCTTGCCACCCACAAGTCATGATGTTTTATTTTGCCGCTGAAAGCCACGAGGACATGAACCTGTAAGTAGAAGCAGATCATTGTATCTAATTTTATTAGAATTTTATTTTAAAAATGTATCTGCTTCTTTAATCAGAAATGTGGTTAAGTTTAGTACTTCCTTCCTTTCAGATGGTTAAATAAACTTGGTCTAGCCTCCATTCAGTATGAGCCCACAGCAGAACGGAACACTGTAGCCGGTAAGCGCCCGTGGCAATCTTTTTCTTATCTCTCACTGTTGCT